ACATAAAAAATATCATGGGCTAGGATTACAAGACAAGATGAATACAGGAATGAGGTATAGGGGAGAAGCCCATGAGCTGACCGTGATATTCTCAAGATCGAGGTGCTTGTTGTGGACGGTCTCGCAGAGTTTTCGAATCTTCTCCTTCACTTTGCCCATCTCCTTAGCAGTCAGCTGGTTATCAGCTGTGTCGTCTTGCTCAAGCTCCAGAAGTCGGATCATGAGGTCCAGACTGGCCCTGTCGAGGTCCATGTTGAGTCGATCTCGGCTGAGGATGTACATTAAAGAAGCCGTACAGAGGGCAAGATTCTGAGAGATAAACAAGGAGAAAGACATTAGCAGCAGAATCACCAAAATCTAAGCAAAATAAACCAAAATGAACATAAACACAGGAGGTTACATAAGTGGAATTAAGAATATCAATGCTTATAATGTCAGAGTGGTGCATTTCATGGTAACACACTGTGACCTGACAATCAACAACAGAACGAAGTTTATCTCCATGTAGTTCCTCCACCTTACCGGATGCTGCGGAGCATCATTCAGAGTTTTGAAGACCTGGGCGACCTTCCCTCTTGCTCGCAAGTGCATCCGGAAGCTGGGCATGGCACATCTGGTGGCCAGGCTGATTATACTGCATATCGGCAGACAGAAAAACTGGTCAGAGTGTGAATCTGAGTTCCCCCCCCGGCCCCAGAGCACTGTGGGTAAAACCCATACCTAAGGCAACGTGTGTTGAGAGGCTGGCCGCTTTTTAGGCCAGTCTCCAAGTACTCAAAGTCATCCGTGAATTCTTGATTCTCCCCAAATTCCACCACGTCGTTGAAGTGCTTAACATGCTGGACGACAGTGTACAGCTGGGAAGGAAATACACACAAAACAAATGTCAGTACAGTATTCTACTCAACAAAGTGCTACCCACAAAGCTAGTTTGATCAGCAAAGTTTCGCACAGGAAACTCGTCCATATTCATACATGTCAATTAAAAAATATATATATATATTCTATATGAAACACTTAATATGACACACACATTTCAGAAAATAAGTTGAGTCAAATTCTCACCTCCTTGTGCTCTTTTCTACATTTCAGTGCAGTGACAATGTCTTGGTACGGCTCAGTGGGGATGGTGACAGACTTAATGACTTTGGGGGGGGGAGCTGGTGCTTTGAAGACACCGTCATCCTTGCGGGTGTTTGATTCTGTGCTTCCTTGTGACAAAATAGCCTGCAAAAACACATTAACTCATTAATTACACTAAAAAAGTACAATAAACAATCAGATCAAAATGTTATTTAAATGACATGTTAACATTTGGTATTTATGTAGCATAAACAGAATTACTAGTCTGAATACTTTTGAATTTGATAGATATCAACATCGTGATATCACACTATGATTTGTGAAATATCTGCGATTAATATCGCGATATTTATAAAACAAAAAAGATGAAATCACACAAAAATAAACTATAGCCAAACAGAACTAATAATAATGGTGTTGCCAACAAAGGCGATGTGATTACTGCACATGCACACATTGTGATGATGATGATGATGATGATGATGATGAAGAAATAATGTATCGTGCAGCCCTGAGATAAACACACAAAACTACTGTGTTAAATAATGTGTGCATTTTATATATGGCAACTTAAAAAAAAAATCCATTCTAGTACTGTGTGTGTTTTTATCTAGTGAACATCCAAGCAACTTTGGCAAGCTTCACAGGTGGGGAGGACCGGACCGAGCCGGCTAGGCCATAACAGGGATTCCACGTATGGCTCCGAGAAGAGAAATCCAGCTGGAGAGCACTGCTTACCGGGGCAGTCTGGGATCGGGATAGCGAAGGTACAGGCGTGTCTTCAGGCTCAGGCTGGTTCCAGTGTCTGGCATTATAAACAGCTTTTGCAGGTGACTGGGAGAAAAATGCCAGGGGGTAATTACAATTTGCATTAGCAATTAAATTCCACCCCATATTAATAATCTGTACATTTAATAAATCAAAAAAAATAACCCATGACAGGTAACCTCTTGGTGCCCATGCAGACTCATGAGCAGTGAACACATCAATGCTATCAGCTACAAGCTGCTTTACAGGTTGTCAAGCCGCTCAGATTTCCCAATTTCACCCGTAAAACTGCAGGCGTCCAGCAAGTCAAGTCCTGTTCTTAGGGCCTGCGTAACAGACGGCTAGAGCAGCACAACGAGGACTGAACTCAAGTCTGATATAAGAACCATCGGAGGCCCCAAGCATACATTTGGAAACTGTATAAATATAAATTTTAAAGCAAGAATTCTGAGATACTCAGACTGCCAGGTTGACTAAGTTTAAATAAATGAAACAATATGTTTGTATTAACTAATGCCAAATGCTGTCAAGGCAATATATATCCTAGAACAGGGGTCTCCAACTCCGGTCCTGGAGAGCTACCGTCCAGAAGGTTTTCTATCCTACCCGGCTTCTGATGAGCCACACCTGTTCTCAGGTAAATACCAGGAGCAGGTGTGGCTCATCAGAAGCCAAGTTGGACAAAAAACCTACTGGATAGTAGCTCTCCAGGACCGGAGTTGAAGACCTCTGTCCTAGAACAAAAGAGGCGACATGAAGGTCCACCAACATACATAATACCTAGGGGCGTAACAATACATCGATTTGTATCGCTATATCGATTCAACGGCAAACGATCCGATGCATCGATGTGACCGCATAAATGTCGATACATGCGTTTTTATTTTCTCGCCTATTCCAGTATTGTTTTCATGACCCACTCCGACATATACATTGTCTACACCAGGGGTGCCCAATAGGTCGATTGCAATCTACTGGTCGATTGCAAAGGTAGTGTGGGTAGATCGTATGGCATAAAAAAATAGAGGATGGATGACGCGTTCAACCGCGCCAGCTGCTGCAAGCTACCGAGTCGCCTAGTTAGCCTCCAATTTATTTCTAATAAACTTAAGAAAGGGTATAAAAATGAATGGGGGAGCTGGACCAAGTAAGAAGCCAAAAACCTACCACTTCAATACAGAATGGGAGGAGGACTTTTTTTTTCACCATGTCATATTCAAAGTGCATTTGCCTCATCTGTCAGTCTACCATTGCTATTCCGAAGAAGGGAAATGTGGAGCGGCATTTTCGGACTGTTCATAAAAACTACGACATTAACTTCCCTCCGAAAAGGGAGCTGAGAAATAGAAAGGTGAAGGAACTAAAATCCCAGTTCAATTCAAAAATACTTTATTTATCCCAAAGGGAAATTAATGATAATAATAATAATAGTAATAATAAATAATATTACTCAAGAATACTCAATATTTTTATATATAAATATATGTTTTGCATTTTTATAGTCGGTAGATCACTTTGATTTAGTCATTTATAAGTAGCTCGCAAGTTGGCGTACCTTCAGAGCCTGCGTGTAATACGGCAGGTGACATTGTGTGCTCTGAGCGTAGCGTACTCTCTCCTGAACATGTTGACCATTTAATTTAAAAATAAAAAAAAAAAACCTCTCAAAGGAGAATACTGACATACTTGTTTCACTGCAGAAGTCAGTCATGTTGATCTTCCTCATTCTATATGTCTGTCCATGCAATGTTTTTTTTATTTGACCTTATTGCACTTTATTTTACTTGTTGTTGTATCCCAGTGTAGGGCGAGTGAGCAGGGAACGAGGAATCAGGGTCAGGCAGACGGAAATCCAACAAACGTGTGGGGGGGGGTTATTGCAAGCACAGCACGCAACACGGGGAAAACTTCAATGACAGATCTGGGCGACAGACTGATGTGGACTTAAATACACAGGACTAGACAAAACAATAAGAAACAGCTGGGAACAATCAGGATTGCACGCGAAGTTAATGAGGGGCATAGCACACAAGAGGGTCATAGGAGCAGGTCATGACGGTTATGGACATACTTTTATACTTTTTGTTACACTTTTGTATTTCTCTGGAGAAGACTTGATTCAAAATAAAAATCAGTCACCATGTGAATCTACATCCATCCAAAGTTTTTATTTTTACCTTATTGCACTTTATTTTG